CTTGATGGGGTCTGATGCAGCAAATTCTGCGCTTTCTTTCTACGTGTAGAAAAATGAGAAAAGAATGGATCCTGTCATTTTTCTCTGAAAAATACGTAGGGGGGAAATTCATTTGGCGCCTACTGTAGAATAAACGATATATAGCGTGATAAGATTGTTCATCGCAATAAGCCGATAAACGTATTAATTATAACAACAATAAAAATGATTGAGTAGAAGTGGTTATATTACGAAGTTTAATAAAGTATTATACCACTGTAAAGACCATATTCCTATGACCAAGTTTATTTTCTTCCACACGATATTTCGATAGCTACTGCTATCATTATCAAATGAAAAGAATTGATAGACTGTACAGCTAACAGAGATTCACACCATATATATAAAATTTTTATTGTCTCTTGTGCTTTATATATATGGTGTGAATCTCTGTTAGCTGTACAGTCTATCAATTCTTTTCACTCGATAATGATAGCAGTAGCTGTCGAAATATCGTGTGGAGGAAAATAAACTTGGTCATAGGAATATGGTCTTTACAGTGGTATTATACTTTATTAAACTTCATAACAACAATAGTTTATCGCGTTACTACGTATCCGGATAAGTCCTTGTAGAAAATGTTAATATTTATATGAATGAAGAAAATGTTAATAAATGTATGAATTTATTGAATTCTGTTATAACTATTGAAGCTATATTTGGTTTTCTTAGTAATATTTCTATATTTTAGCAAAGAAACTTATGGAAAGAGAAATGGTTGGATTGAACTATTCAAACCTCTATTAGCACTGGACTATAAGGATCGATCTGAATTGTATGAATTATTTGTTGCTATTCTCATTCGATATATACCAAGGTAAAAGATATTCAACAATAAATTAAGTAAAGATATTTTCTTAAAAACATTTTTAAGTAATCCGAGAGTGATATCAATTTTTTCATTCAGAATTTCTAACTTATTTTCTAACTGTATATTAGACATTATATTTAACGATATATATTTTATATTCTTTTTAGAGATTGTGAAGCCGATGGAATGCCATATTATCTTTTTCGCTTGTTACTATTGTATCATGATCCAGAATTATGTAGTTTTCTCGATACTAAAAAAGTGACACCTGATCTTTATGCACATGTTTGGGTATGATATATTCATTCCTTTTATTTAAATAGACATAAAGCATTTTGTTTGGTCTCTTTTAGATGAGAAGTTTATTTGCAGCTAATTGTCCATTGACTGTGACATTAAATCTATGGGATGGTTATTTTCAACATGCTGATCAATTTTTTGCTTTTTTTTTGGCACTTGTTTTATTAATGTTTGCTAAGTAAGTTATTAATTATTTTTTCTCTTATACAAAGAAATAAACGATGTTATTTTGTTCACGCTATAAAGGGAACATGTATTTGAAATGGGTGAAGCTGATAAAAATGAAATTGTTGGTAAGTTTACTTTTTAATTTCAAAACTCTGTTATACGAATATATTTATTTATTTAGAATTTTTATCAAAAGCACCATCAAATTTAAGTGAAAATGATTTAGAAGATTTTTGTTCATTAGCAAATCATTATGCATCAAATACACCACAATCATTCCGAAAAGTAAACATTTGTTTCTTTTTAAATATATTATTGTGTGTGATCAAACTTTTTATTTTATTTTTTTAAAAATATTTAGGAATTTTATTCATGTTTATTCAGTGAATCAGATCGTACCTTTTCACAGAAAGCCTGTTCCATCTATCAAGCTTTATGTTTACCTGTATCAGTTCAAGAATTATTACAAGCGAATCAACTCGGGGGTGTATGAATTTTTCTTTGTGAAAAAATAATTCAAATTTTAATAGAATTAAATATATTCTTATTTTTTTTCTCTAGACAACTGCCGGTGTCAGATATTTTATTGTCGATTGTAGACCAGCTGATCAATATAATTCAAAACATTTATATACAGCATTTCATCTTGACGCAAATCTTGTATGCTTTTATTTTTATATATAATAACTATTTTTAAACGATAAGTTTTTTGATAATTATAGTTATTAGAAGATCCAAAAGAATTTAGTAGTACAGTTGATGCTTTATTTGCTACACAAAAACATGCAATTGATGCTGGTACGAGTGTTATGAATAAAATAAATATTTTATTTTAATTCGTTTAGTTATATCATTATTTTTTTAAAGGTTCATCAGCTGGTGGAGAACATTTATGTTTTATGGGCTCAGGTCATGAAGACGAAGATAAATATGTTAGAATGGTTGTTGCACATTTTCTTCAACGAAACACAAAATATGTCAGTACAGCCTATGGTGGTTATGAAAGTATGTAATTTTTATTTTAAATTATTTGTTTTAAGTGAATGTTTGTGACAGGAATAAATCAAGTTCATAAGAAATTAAAAAATAATCCTGGGAACAGTTAAAATTTTAATTTCTTCCAGGAAAACTTATGAAATAGTCTACATTTTATGCTCAACCTGTTTGTTTAACTAGCAAACAGGTTCGATCACTTTTCTATCAGACAGACAAAACAGCAGATACATTTTTGAAGAAGAGAATAATTACAAAGAGAAAGCTACCTTTTCAATTTAAAATGGAGTCTTTTTACGCTAAACTGGACGCTCACGTTCTTCCCTGTGTATTGCTGAAATAAGTCATTGTACTCATGCTTGTACTGCGAAAAGCTTTTCAGATATAATAAAAAAAGGTTAAGTGTAGTACAAATATCACTCAACGAAAGAAACTTTGGTTCAGAGTATGAAACTCGTAACCTAAACCTAGGTTAACTTAATATAATCTATGCAATTTTTTTCCAAAACCTGATTTCAGAATAAAGCCCTGCAGGTCACGCATAACCTGTCCTGTCCTGGCAGGTTAGGACAGGTTTAGATTACGACTTCGCAGTTCAGGATAGGTTATAGGTTACGAAAACTTTTACAGAACAGATTACAGGTTACACTATCCGTACCCTATTTTCAACCTGTAAAAAAAATATTAAGCGCCATCTGTAAAGAGGAAGAAATAAGAACTCGAAAAATAGTTTTTATTAGTCAAAAAGAATATTTAGTGCATCAGAAAGAATATTGGAAACACGAAGACAGTTGTTGAATCCAGATGTTGTTGACGATATATTATTGATCAGAAATTTCAGAGATGTGTGATCTTTTGTTGTTGTTTTTTGCTTTGCACTAAAAAATTTCAGTCGTAGGACAGGACAGAACAGGTTACGCAAAAAATATCGTAAGTTAGGACAAGTTACGAGATATAAGGTTATGAAAGGTTATAGATTGTTAAAGTTTTTACAGGACAGGTTATAGGTTATGAAAAAGTTGATAACCTGCAGGGCTCTATTTCAGAAACCTAAACTTCAGCTTTATTCCAGATCATTATTGTTTCTTATCTAAACAGCGCTGATAGAAAAGCTTATACAAAATAAATCACATTTTAAATCAATTAAGAAATGAATCGGTTGAATCTTTCATTCTTTAACGCAATGTTTGGAAAATAGCTTTCTGAGTATAGGGAATTGTTGTTGTAGGGAAATGTGCATTGTCAGCTCAAAGCTACAGAAATAAGAAATTAATTTAGGATTTTTCTTGTAAATTCTATAACTTTGTAAAGAAAGGTCGTGTAGAGCTGGAAGAGGTCTCATTTTAACCAGAAATTTGCGGTCTACAATCATGCCTCATTAGAAAAGGTTTGGTTACTTTTTAGAGTTTCTGAAAAACTGGTTTTCCAGAAAACTGGATCTTCAAGAGTCATGGGCCCGAATCTTTTTAGGGTATTTACTACCTCACTGAGGTCTATCGATCCATGTACAAAGCATTTGAATCAGAAGTGGGCATCTCGGGAGGTTCCCCCGTAAGGGGGAGAAGGGTAATTTTTTTTCGCTCCACTACCAAGTTTTCTTGGGGAGTTGTAAGGATTTTCTTTATTAGAGTAGTCAAATAGCAACTGAATATTTTCATTTTTTTGTAAAATACCCATAATTTTTGTATTCTTCACAATATCAAAAATCTGAAATGGCAGATCGATAGCCCAAACATTTTTCTATCGATCTATGCAAAAAGTTTTAAAAAATCGTTTCTAATAACGGATCTTCGGTAGATTTTCTGAAAGTCCTAATCGATTTTTGCTATTCATCCCGCCTGGGGTGAAAAATACAAAAATTATAAATATTTTACAAGAAAATGAAAATATTCAGTTACTATTCACCTCTGACTACTCTATGTTTGTTTGTCACTATCTTCATTTTCAACATTATTCGATCTCTATGAAATAAACAAATAATTTCTGCTTACTCTCACACACAAATTTGTGTGCTTTTGAAGTTAGTTTTAGTATCGTTAGTTAGTTTGAAAGTGGTATAAGGGATAGACCGTGGTCTAGTGGTGTGCAGACTACTTCTAGTAATATTTTAAATTCTCCTAGATTTCATGTATTTCTGCAGCATATATACATTTGTATATAATTTTTTCCTCTACTTCTAGTACTTTCACGCGCTATTGAAGATCCGTCTATGTTAACCGAAGCTCAACAAAATAGTTCAACATCGCCTACATCTCTAACATCAGATTCAAATTCTCATACATCGATTAATTCCACACATAAACAAAATTCCATGGAAAAATTATCAGTATTAAATAATCAGGTTTCATAATTGCTAGATAGATCAGAAGCGTTGATCTAATATCTTTTTATTTATTTTTTTGCGGTAGACTTTATCGTTGTTCAATATGATATCAAGTGTTGTGAAAACGAAATCCATCGAAGTGAAAGACAAAGTCAAAGATTACATAACTCATACATCATTAGCCGATAATCAATTACCAAAGTAAATATTCTCTTTTCTGTTTGTCTTATTGTCTTATGTTTTATTTTATTTGAGACATGTGAGTAATAAAGATAAAGTTGTCAAATTATATAGGCACAAAAATCAATCATCTGTATTTACAATCGATGGAGATGATGAAGATGGTTAGAATTCAAACTATCTCTTGTGTATTTAAATTATTTATTTTTTATTTTTATTTAGATACACCTTCATCACGTCAAAAAGAACCACCCGAACTTGTTGATATTGAATCATGGTTTTTGAGATCAGATATGTTATATAAATATGAATGTCAACATATTGATGAGAGTAATCAAATGCATCCAAGGTAAGAATAGAAAATGTGGTCAATATGTTCTACTAGAAAAAAATTTTCTTTTCTTTTTATTAAAAAAACTTGATCATTATTTTTTTAGTCTGTTACTGGTATCATCATCACATTTATATATTTTACGAAAATTACCTGATCATAAAACAATGGCCGATGTTATTTCACGACGTCCATTGCAATCAATTGTTAAAATTACAAGTAAAAAAAAATTTCCAGAAATAATAACATTTCGTTATGGAACACAAGAGCAGCAACAACAACAACAACAACAAAACAGTGATAAAAATACAGTACAAGCAACACAATTACCTTCATCAACGCAACCTTCTACGACTGTTGATTGTGATAAAGTATTTATACCTGATGCTGGTGATGCAACTAAAAATATTAAATTATTAATTGTAAAAGCACTTAATTTATATGATTTGAGTGATAATGAGGAACAACAAACGTCACCAAATCAACCATTAACAACGGCATAAACAGAAAAATATTGACAATTTTTAACAATTATTTTTCTGTCCATTTCGTTTTTGTTATTACGCTATTTATTCCATTTTAGTGTATTCCTTTCTTTTCTTTTTTTTTCTTCTATTGTTATAAATTTATCTGTGTTTATATACATATCTTTTATGTCATCATAATTGAAAGTGAGAACGTGAGGAAGCTAGTGACTTATTTGATATTTGGCAGTAAGAATTAACAAAAAACAAACAGTATAAAGATAAATATCTATTTTTGTCTTATATTCATCAGTAACAAATGAGAGACTTCACTTTATTCAATAAAACAGGTCCACTTTATCTATAGAAAAAATGATATTTTAATATGACAAGTATATTTCACATCTTCTGACTTTATATGAACAGAAACTAGTATCTTTTCGATATTGATATTTCTTCGAAAAAAAAAAAAAGATCATACCCGTCACATATTCGAGAGTCCTTTTAAATATAAGTAAGATGTAAATCAATTTTCTATATCTCGTGGTACTGAAGTACATTTTGATATCTCTCGTTTCTTAACACATTACATAGGAATGATACGTATATATCATCAAAAAAAAAAATGTAATTAACATTCATCATCCTTAATTTGATCGACACACATAAAATGAATGAATAGATGTGCTCGTTTATTAAAAACATCTTTCTCTCTACGTTTATGTATATATTTGAATATACACCTGTCTATCTAGTTCAATTGATATCAAAAAACTTATACAAGTATATATATCATTAACGTATATAACAACAACAAGAGTTCGAAAAGAGATTTTTATATTCACATCTCATTTCGATATTCTCCATATCTTGATTTGTTCTACTATATCACGGTTCAACGATTGAAATACATACGTATAATTCTTTTTCGGTTTATATTTAACAACTACTACTACATATTTAGTATAATGTTTAATAATATGAATATCTATTTTCTTCTTTTTTTTGTTCATTTTTGTGGGTTATTTTGAACAAATTCATTTTCGTTCAAAAGATCGTGAAGTGACAAAAAGAAAAATTGATTGAAGTGACTACACACATTCATATATGCAAATTTTTCGAGGACACGCGATTTATCTTTGGCTTGAGAATAAATGATAGTATATTATTTTTGTTTTTATTAATTCACACTTTATACTCATCTAATACTGTAGGCAAGTATTTAAACATTTAGCAAAATTATGTCAGCAGCATTACTTCAAGATCCAACTATACAAAAAATTTTGGGAGAAGTAAATAAAGCAGCGACTGGTGGTATTCTGGGACAAGCTGGTGCTTATTCAGGACAATCATTTGATACTATTGGATCAGAATCATTTTATCAATCCAATGGACATTCATCAAACGTTTACGGTTCTACATTTGATAGTGGCATTGATCTCAGTACCGCATCAATACCAATGACAAATGGTAATTTCAATTCATATACAGACTTTGGAGATAGTGATCAGTTTCAAAGGCAACATAATGCTCCCTTCGAATATCAATCCTATGATAAATATCAAATAAACAATCCGAATATAAGACGTACTCAGGGAACATCAAGTGTTTCATCATCTCTTAATAACGATGTCTCAATTGAACAAATTCATTTTAATTCTATACCATTATCCATACCAAATTTGGGACTTAATATGCGTGTGGGAAACAGTAGGAAAGAAGAAATAATTCCAGATGAACAATTGGTGGATGATACAGCATTGTTAAATAATAACACTCAGATCACCAATGGAGATGACACCAATATTGACAACAACACTAATACATCATCCACTGAAATTAAACGGCCATTATCAGTCGATAATTCTGATCGTGGCCTTCTTCAAAGTCAATCGAATTCAAATTTTAATGGTTTTCCGATAGAAGGATTAGATCAACAAACATTAGCATCAGCAGGAAAAATATATTATGATCCAAATCCTCAAATTATCAAACGACAAGGAACAGGCTCTGTTACATATAAACAAAATATTCTTATACGATTTTTACAACCACCACCGATTCCAGCACCTGGACCACTAATAATTAAAGAGGTAGGCGTTAACTTGCCACAATGATGATACTGCCACTTTTTTGTATTACTAAGTTTGTGATAGCATCGATGTAAAAATAATTCTATTTAGGTGAGAAATCCTCAACCTCCACCGTTGCCGCCACTGGTTATTAAACAACGTCCAACGCCTCCAAAAACACCACCACCACTTATTTTACGTGAGCGTCCACCACCACTTCCTCAATCAATTCAATCTAAAGTTATTACACGGTAAAAAAATAAGTAATATCTAATCTATGACACTATACGCATACGTCACTATAAATTAAGGCAACTGCCAGCCGAACCACCTCCTCCTCGAGCGGTGATCATTGAACGACTTCCTCCTTTACCACCAAAACCTCGTAAGTATTTTTGATGTTAAAAGAGAGTCTATACTGATCTATATGTATTGAAATAGGCGATATAATTATTGAACGCTGGTTACCGTATCAATTAAGTCAAAAACGGAAAGTATTAGTTGAACGAGCTCCTGCCATCAAAGAATATCCAAAACCTAAGAATGTCATTATTACGTAAGTATGTGTATATGTGTATATGTGTGTATGTGTGTGTGACTGACCATCGGAGTGTGTGCTATACATACTTCAAATAGATAATTTTTTTATAGTTATGAACCAGTCCAAGCTCGAATTGTTAGGCAATTTCAAAAGTTAGGTATTACTCGAGAAGATCCAAATGCTTACATCAGTCGTTATGGAGCTCAGCTTCGAGACGCAATCACGTTGGAAACAGAAGCAAGAAAAGCTGGCGTTATTGAAGATATTGTAAGAAATATTCTTGACTATGGACTATTGTTTTAGTTCATACACTATTGCCATTTCTATTCGTTTTTCTAAGAGTCCACCATCAGTTGTCGGAAATGCTCAACTAAAAAGTACCTATGGATTTGATGCGGATCCATTGTTAACCACTAACAATGGAGATTGGCAATTTGGTCAATTAGGAGAAGATAATGCATTTAATTATGGTACAGCAGCACTCACAAATGGAGATGAACAAATCGTTGGCAAGAGTCGCTCATCATCCAGTGTGAAAAATTTTTTATTATCAACACCAGATAAAGATCTTGTACAAGAACAAGAACAACAAGTTATTGAAAATGGCCAAGATCAAAATGTTCAACCATTTTATATTAGCGGTATGTCAAAATATTTACTTTTTTCGTCAACTAATTCACTTTTTAATTTGTTTTATTTAGATAAAAATGATGATGCTGGTGGTAGTGGCGGTGATAACATTCAACAAACACTTCAAAAACTTGGCATTGATATATCGGGTCAGACGAATTAATGAGACATAATTCGAATGTAAATAGTTACTTAGTTTTCTCGTTATTGCATAGATCATTTTATTACTAAAAACGTATGCATAAACATTTTCATCTAAATTTTATTCTTTCATAATTTAAACAAAAAAACAAAAAAAAAAACATATTTTGTTCTAGTTCTAGTTTTTCAACTGCATTGTGCAGTATTTTTCTTCCATTAATAAAGGTTTTTTTTAGAACTCTATGAATCTCTAATATATAATCACTATGTATCTATTAAGTTGAAAAATAACTTTATTATTAGCAACAAATAGAATACAAAGAATATCTATAATAGTGATTACTTAAAGAATAAATGAAACTAAAAATCATTATTTTCTATAGACTGTTACATAACTATTTTTTTCTCCAGTAAGAACAAAGATCTACTTTATACAGTTTTTTTGCTAAATTTTTAACTTATTTTCATTCTAAGTATGTAGTCAAATATTATATGAAAAGAGCTGCATAATCAGTTTTATACGATAGTTAATTACATTATTAAATGAAAACAAGAAAAATGTCTTTTCTCATTGTTGATCGAGTGATTGAGACGATAATTGATTTTAGTGATAGTGCACTCAACGTTATTTTACAATTTTTGACTAGAAATGGTTTTAGTTTGAAAATCATGAACTGTGAAGCGAACTATAATTTGCCACATGCCTTTAAGACAATGTATAAACAAAGTAACTTATTTGAATTGGTCAAATGGTTAATACATTTGATTTCATTATGCTACCGATGCTATTCAAACAAAATCACTCATTTATAACTCTTATCACTCTTTTTCTCTTTTCATGATGTACACCATATATCTATATACACTGTCCAGTTCTTTCAACATTGTTATAAATAGTTATCTAATTGGTGTAAGTCGGTAAAGTTAAAATGAACTAAAATAAGAAAGATTTTATCGAATTAATGATAAAGATCAAATCTAAAATAAAGTTTATTAATTAAACTATTAAAGTTTATTAATGAAACTATTAAAGTTTATTAATGAAACTATTGTACATGAATAATAAAACAATGTAAAAGGTCTGAATAAAACATGTACCGATCTTTATTATACAATCGACGTTTAAAATATTCCTGTAAAATAAATCAATAACTTATTAATTAAATTTCATTTTTTCATGTTCGTGTGTGCAAAGCTTGTCGATTAATTTAATCATTAAAATTATTAAAAAAGGTAGTGACCCAAAATACAGTCATGCCATTGTAACTCAAAAACTATGATAACTGATAAGTTAAAATTTGTTCTAAACCAGTTTATTTGAAACTAAGTGAAAATGTATACAACAAAGCGGGCCTAATCCATTATACGTTGAGAGAAAGTGAAGTAGAAGAGTAAGAAAGAGAAAAAAAAGACTAATTTGAATGAGAAAATCATTAAATAATACATATAAAAAGCATATAACTCAAATACAAACAGTCGAATGAACATGCTATGTGTAAAAAGAAAGAACAAAATAAGAATAGAATTCAATCGATTGATCTGAATGGATAATCTAGACAGTAAAGAGGGGGGGGGGGGGGGGATTGGGTTTTATTGTGGGGGCAAGGGGGAATAGTTGGGTTGCAGGAAAAGGAATTTTAAAGGGTTTC